CCCCAAAACCCCAAAACCCCGTAGTGACGACATAAAAGGTAAAAATGCAAACACAATAAATAGGATAATGTTGCAGTAAAAAATCACTGCTCTTTTCTATTAATTACTAATTTTCCTACTATTCTGTACTTCTGACAGAAGTTTATGAAGAAGCCTTGAATATTTTACTCTTGATTGACTGGGAGAAGCATTTCTGGGGAATAATCCATATCAAGATACTTATCATCTGTAGAATAATTTGCTGCTGCCATAGTTAAATCTCTACCAGCAAATTTAGCATAATCACCACCTGGCTCGTAAAAATCAGATCCAGTAACATCAAAGATCAATTCATTGCAAGCTATATAAATCTATTTTGTAGGTCCATTCCCATCAAACTATCTCAATTCTTCTTTAGACATTAGATTTTTCCTTGGATCTAATTCAGGCTCTTTAGCTGGCTTCTTTTTATCTTTGTTGATAACTAGATATAAAAGCACAAAGATTCCAAATCCAATTAGATAGTACATTGGATCAAATTCATTTCTTGAGGCCTGGTATGCATCATTCATAGCTTGAAATTGCTGTTCAGGGGTGTATTCTTGCTGTTAGTTAGCTTCCATTAAGTATAGATGCCTAAATTTATATTAAACTTTTATAGTATTCTATTAATTTAATCAACCGAATTTGATTATTTAAATTCCGAGGAGTCTCTTAAGGAATTAATAAAATTGTAATTAAAAATGAGCGAGCAAAAGAAAGCAAACACTCAGGTAACTTAGAGTACTGGACCAATATAAAAACCCACTATTGGAGGGGTTTAAAGAAAGAAAACCAACATAGATTTTACATAACTAAGTTGGGGCACACTCAGAAAATACCAGTATTTCTTTAGAGTAAAGACTTAGGACAAGGAAGGAGATGACTTGAATACTAGAGAAGCAGTAGAATCTGCGGTAGTCAAGCACTTTGAGGACTTGAAAATCGACTACGACAAACTGATTTATAAATTCCTAAAGATTAAGAAGGATGAAAAGAATGATTAGTTATACAATCTCAGAAAGTCTCAGAGAGCAAGAGCATCTAACGCCCTTGGTGGTGATACTGGAGCATACTGAAAGATAAGAATTAATGAATGTAGTCATGAATGCATGATTATTATCGAAAATAATTGGATTAATTATCAATAAGTAGTGCATCTCTTTTCTAATATCATTTTGATGTTTATGGGGTTTTGGGGTTTTGGGGTTTTGGGGTTTTGGGG